TGGGCACAGCATCGCAGGTGGCCTTGCCAGTTCTCCCAGCCTCGAGCTTCTTCTGTGCCTGCGTGGAGCCCCCCCCCCCCCCCCGCCCCGTGTTCCCAGGGGACTTGGCCCAGCCTGGGTATGCCGGAAGTGAGCCCAGCAGCTTTGCCTTCGACTCCCAACAGTGACCGACCGTGCAGCGGTCAGACTGAGGCCACCAGGAGGAGTCAGTAAGAGCTTATCCCGTGGGAGCACTCACTGAGGCTGGTGGCCAGGAAATACCAGGTGTTTTGTTGGTTTGGGTTTTGTTTTGTTTTTATTTTTCTTCCGCTGAGGTCAGGACGGAAGCAGGGACGCAGTGCTCAGCACTCCCAGCCCACTGCACGGAGAGCCCCCTGCCAGGGTCGCCTGCTCATGCCCCCGAAATCCGCTCCTGGCGCGCGCTCCCGTCCTCCTCCTGCTGTGACTAGCGTGCATGGAAGGGCACAGTGGTGGCAGAAAGACTTGTGGCAAGAAATCAAGACCCACAGAAAGTCATAAGAGAAAAAGCGTTTTGCCTGAACTCCACCCACTGACCTTTTGTGGGTGAGCTTTTGGTGAAAAGGTAGCATCCTCAGAGCTCTTAGGGAGATGGCTTTGTAACCCGCAGGAAAGACACCGCTTCCAAATATAATTGACGTGGCTTTCCTGCCTTAATTCGGGGTATCCTTTTCCCACCACATAATCTTCCCTTTGTCCATGCTGATTCCTGTTTGGTTTGGCAGGGCCTGCTGCTGGCAGGCGCCCCCAGTGCTGAATGCTCCGCGCTCCACTGTGCTGGGCCTGCTGAAATAGCAGAAAGAGCTCCCTCTCCCCCGAATCAGGAGCCAAATGCCACACCGATTGTGCAACTTGTCTCTGGTTACCAGGAAAACGTAAAGAAATGCCAATGAAGCAAAAAGGTCGACTAAATCCTTTCCAACACTTGAACAAAAAAGGTATTTTTAGGGCCCTAGATTTATGGAAGTCAATTCCTCTATTCCTCGCCAGACTTTCAAACCTCCTATTCTTTGCACTACATTATTTGAATAAACCATAAATACCCTTAGTTGCTCTAATAGCAGGTCCATATTGTGCAAGGCAGCCATGGTCTGAAGACCTTGTTGAATTTGAAAAGCAGAAGTTCCGTTCCTGGCACGTAAACTTGAATCAGGGCTATAGTTAAGAGTGCCAGTTGAGGTCTGCATTTTGACAGCTAGACAAGCAGGTCATTTATTCAAAAGGACTTTGAATCCATGCCCAGAGTTAAATGCAGTCCTTTGTAAAGCCCAGCAGGCTTGAAATAAAAACTTCTTAACTGACTTGATTAGTGTCCTGCATTTTAGGGGGCAGGAAAGTACTTATGATAAGTTGGAAATGGAGACAGGGTGGGAAAACCTGGGCCTGGAAGGATGGCTTCCTCCGGGGGTATCCCACCATCATATTTTCTAATTTGTGTCTTGAGGGAAACTTTATATTTTTTGCTGAAAATATTATCTCCTTGTGACAAAATCCCAAGTCTGGGAAGAGAACACAAAAGGAATGAGGAACATCCTGAGATCTATGATGCCTCCTGGATAAAACTTTAAAAACCCATAGGCATCAATCAATCCAATTTATTGAATAAATATGTACCAGGCGCTGTGTTTGGTTCTAAGAGGCTAAAATGACTAAGATACAGAACTAAAGTAGAACCATTAGGTTCCTAATGTCATAGTTCTTTCCACTATAAACAGCCCTCTTCTTCCAAGGGTCCCTGCCAGGGCCTCCCCTACCCTAAACAGTGCCTTGGTAAAAATTAGGAAAGTCGCCCTTTCCTTAAGACATGTGACTTTCCAACAGTGCCTTGTAAGAATTAGGCAAGTCCTTAAGACATTTGACTTTCCTTTGGCGGAAAATTGCAAAGAAAATGTGCACAAACCTACAACGTGAATAATGCCTTCCGATATGTGTATGCCTTTGTTTAGGGCATGACCTGACCTATCCGATCATCAGACATGGTGATCCACACTCAAGATGGGAAAGAAAGCCAGGGAGGGGCACAGCCTCCTGGAAGCCCCTACTCCCTGCCTCATCCACACCTTGTTGCAAAAACCACATCATCCTTCAAGACTTCTCTATGAAGGATCACTTCAGGGAGGCTGTTTTCTTTTTCCCCTGTCTGTCCGCCTTCTGGGAATATACCCATTCACCCTAACTATCAGACAGACCTGTACATGTCAACCCAATGTCTCACTGAAGCTCTCTCTCAAAGGGCTCCTTGGCCCCATGCGAATTTAGAATGGAGTAGACATCTGTTTAACGTGTTGCAGAAAATATCAGCAAATGGAAAACTCCTGTGGTGTGGACTGCTCAGAGTACACAAAAGACCCAGGACTGTTCTAACTTCACAGATGTCCTATCAAAGGTTCATCTAGCTCCCCACCCTCCCACCCCCCAACAAATAATTATGCAAGTAAAAATAGTTAAGAAGTCACCTAAAGGCTCATCTTCCAGTCATTTTTTCCTCTTTAGATCAGAAAGAACTCTTTTGAGCAACTTTAAAGTTCAAATTGCAGTATTAAGTTTGAGTTGGAATGGGTCCTCTCTCTTTTTCTCAGAACTATACTGAAATGAATGTGCTCTGCTAGATCCTGGCATGCACTGGAGATGGGGATTAGGTCAAAAATGAATAGGATGGTTCCTGCCTTCAAGCAGCCAAGAGGAATAAAAATACTTTGCATTTGTAGTTTCCAAATGGTTTTCACATATATTATATCACACCTACCACAGCTTTGAGAGGGAGACATTATTACATCTATTTTATAGGTTAAGTGAATAAGGCTCAGAAAGGGTGAGTCTAAGATTACACAGTAATGAGTTGAGACCTGAACTCTGCTCTAAATCTTATCTTTCCCCATGAGTACAGGCTGAAGCTATAGTCCACAGAGCAAAGTAGTGTGATAAGTGTCACTTTAGTAGTGCAGACAAAGTTGTGGGCACAGAATTAGAGGGAGAAGCTCTCCCTGAGAGTGCAGTAAGGTGGAGTGAGGAATGGGGAAATGGAAGGGAGAAGAGTTGGGGTTGAAACTGGTGAATCGCAGAGGGAGGGCAAATGGCAGCAGGAATGGCCTGGCTCAGCGATGCACCTAGAAAGGAGAAAGTCAGACCTTGGTGAATGTCCAGTGAATAACCAAGCACCATTGCTCTGAAAGCTTGTGGGCTGGTCTCGAGGCTTGCAGGCTGTCAAGCTCTTGAAGAAGTAAGACAATGAAGGTCCTGACAGGACAGGCTTTGAGCATAAAGTGATTTCAATGGAGATGGTGGATAAATGTTAATTTAGCAGCAGCAGGGTGAGAAAGGGATTATTAGACGGGATGGTAAAGGGCACAGAAGACCTTCCAGGTCCTCTTAGGGCCAAAAGTGTAGGTGTGGGGATCTCAACCCAGGCAGCAATAGTGGGAGCAAAAGGCAGGGGAGAAGCATGAAATTATAAGAAGCACATCTCAGCTCTGTTTTAGGGTGTTCAGAGGGGGACTTCTAAATGCACATGAACATAGTTGTATTCTTCTTCAGTGGAGAGATCCTAGCTTTCACATTCCTCTTTTGTGGAAGCCAATTATATTTTTTAAAATTAAAGCAGATTAAAGCAGAGCTGCTCTGGCTGAAGAGGAGCACTTGGATGGATGCCTGGTGCTCCAGCTTCCGGAGGTGGAGTCCTCAGCAACCGTCTCAGCTTGAAAATCAGAGATCCAATGCTCCAGCAAGAACCAAAGGCTACCTAAATGGACCGTATCTCTATGAATTCATTCTCCGTTGTGTGTACGTGTGTGTGTGTGTGTATGTGTGTGTGTGTGTGTGTGTGTGTGTGTGTGTGTGTTTCTTGGAAAATTGAAATTAGATTCTTTCCTACTGTCTGTGATTGATTGCAACCAAATATTGCTATGTAAAAGTTTTAGAATCTCAGGACCCAGAAAAGTATCTGGTCCCTTTGAGACTGATGTTGACCCTACTTGCATTTTCAGCCAGCCAGTGGGCAACAGGTGTTCACTGAGCGTGGATGCTGTGTCCATACTTCTGTATGTCAGGGGTGCTGTACTGACTGGCAAGGTCTTGGAGCTCAAGAAGCTTCTGTATTAGTGGGGGACACAGGCAACACATACATGTGAGCAAATAATAATTTTAGATATAATTGAGTGCCATGAAAAAAATAAAACAGGGTAATGTGATTGAGAGCCAAGGAGGAGGTGGTGGTTGACCTGTGAGAAGCTCCCAAATAGATCTACGAGATATACATTTCAAACAGCAAGGCCAACAATCACCAAGCCCTTGAGCCTGGTGCTCGTTCAGTCTGCTGGAGGGTCAAAGACAAGGCCATGGGGCTGAAGAGTGGTGAGTGAGTGCAAGAGGGAGGGAAAATAGGGTTCTCATTGGGCAGGCACCAATCACACACACAGGACCAACCAGTAAGATTTCATTCGAAATGTTTTCGGAAACTGTCAAGGGAATGAAAGAGGCCAGGGTTGACATGGTAGGGCTCACCCAGGCTGCCAGATGCACAGTGGACTTTAAAGGACAAGAATAGAAGGAAACAGGCCAATTAGGAGAGGGAGGATGATAACTTGAACAACAATTGCATCAATAAGAGAATAGGGTTAGAGATATATTCTGGAGGTAGAGTCAACAGAACTTACTAATAAATTTAAGTGGGATGTCAGGGAACAAAAGCAATCCACAGAAACCCCTGTGTTTTTGTCTGAAGCAATTTAGTGGGTGGTGGTGTCATTTACAGAGATGGGGGGACTTGAGGGTGGGAGTCGATTTGGCCTAGGGCAAGGTTTGGGGCTTATGGGCAGAAGCCATGGTTCTGCTTTGGCTCGTAAGTAGCAGAAGTACAAGAGGAGATGCTGAGTGTGGACAGCTGGTTGCTGATACTCAGGGGAAAACTGGGCTGGACATATGGAGTTTTAAACTTAAAGATCCATAAGCATTATCTCTGAGTGCTTACTATGTGCTTGGCACCACCGATTTACAAAAAAGTGTATTTTCCATTGTTGGAAAAGTACTTATCTGCTGAGAACTGGCTCCCAGAATAGCACGGAGCTAAGAAAGAACTGGGTTGTGCCTTGGGCTGGATAGTGAGATTAAACATTTCACCTGTTGCCGAAAAGAAACTTTCCAGGCTAACCATCTGGCATCCTCTGCAGCATGCCAGATCTTTGGCGCAAATCTCTCTTTAAAACAACAACACAATTAAGCTTCTGCAAAACATAGTGCTGTGCAAATCCAGTGTTAGAGATATCACCATGACATCCAGGTTCCTTTCCAACAGCATCGCTCTGCACCCAAACAAAGAAACCTTTCAGCGTGGCTTATGTTTAACCTCAGATGGAAATAACTATGTGGGAAAATAAATTACTCAAGGTCTGGAAGTACTATTTAGACTAATTAATACTAATTGTATATCTATAGTATCTCCAAGTGTTTAATTTCTTTGGAATAATGCTCGATGTTGCCAGTCCTTAAATGAATCAGCTTGATGTTGAGAATGCCATGCCATCATTATTTGTATCGTTTGTATTATGTTGTGTTGCATTACTTAACATTTGCTAGTTTTGTTGAGGAAGCTAGGCCAATCATATTAAAGACACGTTTCTTGACAGAATTAGATTTGCTTAAGAAAGAGAAAGACGGAGACAGGAAGACAGGAAGAGAGAGACAGAAAGGAAGAAGAAGGAGAAGAAGAACAAGAAGAACAAGGAGGAGAAGGAGGAGAAGGAGGAGGAGAGGAGAGGAGGAAGAAAGAAGGGGAGGGGAAAAGGGAGGTGAGGGGAGAGGGAGAAGGGAAAGGGGAGGAGAGGGAAAGGAGAGGAGAAAGGGAAGAAAGGAAGAAGGGAAGGGGAACAGGGAAGGGAAGGGAAGAGAAGGGAAAAAAATTAGGCAAGAAAGAAAGACCCTCTCTAGCAGCCTCACCTAAAGTGAGATCTCTAGGGACAGTATTGTGATGGTGGTTTTAGTAGTCAGCAAGGAAAGGATAATAGACAATAGAGAAATTCTGTTCTTCCCCATATTTTTCATTCTTCGAATGTGAATTTCAGAAATCTAGACTGGGAGAATTATCCATCTATCCATTTATCCATCCATCTATTCAGTCACCAAGGAGAAAATATTTTCAGCCATGGTGGAGACCAGGCATGGGAAAAGTGTGCTATCCCTGGCAAACACTGTCTTAGGCACTTGGGTATTTGTTCATTCTCTTTAAGTATTTATATTGTGCCTACCACAAGCCACACAGGGTTAGGCTCTGAAGACATACTTCTGAAAAAGATAAAGATATATATAGGCTCTGCCCTTAAATTTATGCTGTAGTAATTAAGTAATTACCTGGGCATTAATAAATCATAAAATACCTACCAGAAAAATATTATTTATTTTAATTGAATCAGAATCCATAACAAGAGGACATAGGTCTGAGAAAAAGGACAGGTCAGGAAAAGCTTCCTGGAGGAAATAATGTTTCTTTTGAGACCTGAGTGAAAAGTAAAATGGACCACACAAGGGGACTTGTGTACGAAGTAAGTGTCCCAAAGGAACTGTGAAGCCAGATGTGAGGATAGGGCACATCTGTCAATAGGTGGACCACCACCCAATGTTGTTAGTGCCATTAGCATGGTTCAAAATTGAACTATAAGCATTGAGTGCTTTTATTCTTAGTTTATCTTCTTTTTCCTGGGCTTTGTTTTATTTTGGTTTTACTTTTTAAAAATAATTTAAACTGCCTGGGGCTGAATCACAGTTTGATCACGTAGTTTGTGACCATCAGTGGACTCAATCATATTACAAGGCTGTTGTGATGACTAAATGAGATAATAGTGCCTGGCACCATGTACAGTGTATATTAGGCACTCATAGGCTGGTTCCCTCCTCGTGTAGGTAAGCAACTCATGCACGTAAATGGCAAAGCAAAGAGGTGATATCAGAGACTACTTAATAGTTGAAGAGGCATTTGACTTAGCCCTTATATTACTATCAAGGGCACAGAAACAGAATGTTATATACAGGGAACATTATACTTAGACTGTACCATAATAAATCCTTCTTGGATTTTGAATCCTTTTTACTTTCTTCTGTGCTGCCAGAGAAAATTATCTGCTTTGAAATGGCTCAAATAATTAAGGCCAGCTCACCCAAATCATCGTTGTTTTTCTTTAACCCAACTGATTAGTAACCTTAATTACATCTTCAAAGAGCCTTTGCCGTGTTGGATAACATAATCACAGTAGTAACAGCAGGTGGTTGAGATCATGGGGCCATCTTAGAATTCTATGGTCAGAAAATTTTTGAGTGTGCACTGAGGACCAAGCACTGGGGTAGGGGCTAGGCTTTACCTTGAAGAGTCTCCATGAAATTCCAGCTTTCACAAAGCTTATCACCTGGGAAGCCAGATAAAATGATGAATATGTAAACTTAAAATAAATTAGACTGGAATATGTTTTCTTGAGAAATTAAAGGATGGTGTTATGATAGAAACTTGGCACAGGTGGTCCTATTTTAGCTGGGGAAGACCTCTCTGAAATGGAGACATTGGAGTTGTGTTTTAAATGATATAAAGAACCATCCTCACAAAAAGTGAAGATGCAACAGCAAGGTTTCTAAGGCAAGAGAAAGCCTGACATATGTAAATGATGAATAGAAAAAGAATTACTGTTGCTGAAATGAACATTCTAGTTGTTAATCAAATGATAGGATACTTTAAAACGACTCTCACATAAAAGTATTAACTATCCATTGATGGATTTCATACTTGTTAGACTTTGCTTCATTATCATATCTCTGTAATAGCATGCTAGATCATCCTGAAAAATCTATCGATCAACTCTAACAACAAATAGTTATTGAGCAACTTTTTATATGCCAGGCATTGAATAAATCAACGAACAAAACAAATAAAATGTCACGTCCTCATGGAACTTGCATTTAAGTGGGAGTGAACCACAAAACAAAATTTAAAATGGGTAAAATATAAAGTATGTTAGACTGTGAAAAGTGCGAAGGAGAAAAAATAATGTGAGAAAAGACTTAATAAATTTCTTCTACCCATCCCTTCACTAATCCAAATGTATATACATCATTCATACATGCACCATGTATCTCACATTGATGGCTTGCTTACCATAAACCAGATATTGAGAATACAAATTAAATAAATTGTGAGACTTCCCCTTCTAGCTATGATATAGTTACTGCTGCCAGATTTGCTCTCTGGCATATAATAAAACTGGAGAGAAAAATATTGAATCTTTCCACCATTGAACGGCAGGAGAACTGAGGCAAAGAAATGTCAGATGAGCCCCATATTTGTCCCAGCTTCTTGCTGGGGCATGTTTTGAACTGCAGTGCAGGGAGATGGAGCCCAAGCAGTGCACAGTGCTTTTGCTGAGCTGAGAAAGCTAAGTTAAGAGTTCAAAACTGCAGAAGCATCTGGAACTCTCAGGGCAGGGTACTGGAAAGGTGGGTTCTGAGAAGAGCTGGGACTCTTAAGAATCTGTGCATGTGTGTTTTATAGATTCTTGGCCAAGGGATATACTATTCATTCAGAGGAAAAAATTCCATGAGTCCTTAAAGAAAGGGATTGCTTCAGGGCTGAAAAAATAGACCATGAAATATCAGAAGCCATGTAAAGTTGGACAGATTTCTGAACAGTCAGTATGACAAGCATCTCTGAGAATCTAGGGCATTTAGTTTAGACCCCAAAAGCACCACAACCTGTAAACAAAGACCACACCTCAGATAAGGGCCATACCTTAGGACTAAAGACAAAACTATACTTAAACAGCCCTAACAAAGAACCAAACTGAGCTTGACAGAACAGAGAAGATTCCAAGTAGTTTACTTAATTGCCAGACAAAATAATACTCTCTTTAATAAAAGACACTGCAAACTAGACAGGCTCTGTTCTCTAGTATACTATAAAGCTGGAGAGAAAATATGCATTTTTCCATCATTGAACAGCAGGGAAAATTGAGATAAGGAACATGTTTGAGCCCCATGTTTGTCATAGCTTCTTAAGTAATATAATTGATTTTACTTTTAATAAACATAATTTTAAATTAGTTGTACTTTTTTTGATAAGTTAAGACTATATTATTGTAATTCTTAGAACATCCACTAAAAAGACAGCTAGCTGAAAGTATAGGTGTAGATAAAAAGCCAATAGAGAATTTTAAAAGAATACTAAAAATATTTGATTTTACAAAAAAAGGTAGTGTAAAAAGGGTAGGAAAGAGGGTAAGAAGAGTAAAAAACAAACAAAATAAATGGAACAAATGTAAAACTAATCAATAAGAGAATAAATTTGAGCCCAACCATGTCAATAATAATATTAGATGTAAATACATTAGAGGCTGGGTGCCATGGCTCACGCCTATAATCCCAGCACTTTGGGAGACTGAGGTGGGCCAATCAGCTCAGCTCAGGAATTTGAGACCAGCCTGGCCAACATGGTGAAACCTCGTCTCTACTAAAAGTACAAAAATTAGCTGGGTGTGGTGGTGAGCACCTCAGCTACTCAAGGGGCTGAGGTGGGAAAATCTCTTGGACCAGGGAAGCAGTGGTTGCAGTGAACTGAGATTGTGCCACTAACACTCCAGCCTGGGCAACAAGAGTGAAACTCTGTCTCAAAAAAAAAAAAAAAAAGAGTGTGTGGTTATGTTCTTCATCAAATCCATGATCATAATTGGAGATTTTAACATCCCTATTTCTGTTATTTATACAACTAATAGACACAAACACAAATAGGAATATAGCAAATTTGAAAAATGCTATCAACTCACAAGAACTAATTGACATTCAAAGAGCAGTTTACCCAACAAGGCAGAATATGCATTCTTTTAAAGTGCATGCTGCATTCACCAAGATAAACCTTGTCTTAACATATTTCACACATTTAAAATCTTAGAGTAAGATTAAATTAAAAATAAATAGGCCAGGTGCAGTGGCTCACGCCTGTAATCCCAGCACTTTGGGAGGCCAAGGTGGGTGGATCACGATGTCAAGAGATTGAGACCATCCTGGTCAACATGG